TTTGCAAAAGATTTTGAACTAACATATTGAAAGTTACAATGTCCTCGCCACAATAACAATGTCGGAGCATGATAAGGAACAACCCATCGGTCTTCTTCTTTCGTTCGGCGATAGACATAACGTAATGAAGAAGGATCAAGGTAGGTATAAGCTGATAAAGAAGCTGGGAACTTTTTATTACATTGCTCTCCTGGAAGTGGTGGGCTGTTACATTTATCTGGACGACACCAATGAACTTGATAGGTGCATACTAAGTCGTAGAGAACTGGTTCTGATTGAGGATCAGGAAGGTCAGCACGAATAATATTACGTTCTATCAAAGATGATATCGATAAGCTAAGGTAAGCTATGCCGTGTGTATGTATTGTCCCACTATTCTGAAATTCATCCCTCTCAAAATAATGTAACCACTGACCCCATTCTGCTAAATTAGGTTTTTTCCATAATAATTTGCGAATCGAATTTAATTTATGATGGTAATGAAGATATTTATGTACAGGTCGATTCGTCGGTAGAGTGGAATAATCATCAGTAGATGATAAAATTTTGGTTAAATTACTCCAACGACCTTCAGCCATAGTCATGGTGTAAAAAATTTGAGTTAAACCGAGATTTTGTACCATTGTATTGATCGAGTGTTCTCATTGACAAAAGTAAGTATTTCCTGTTCTGATATACGATGGAATAGTAGTAGTTAATGTTTCACTTATGATCAGACGATTACTGTAGATACTCTGACCAATCAAATCTGCAATTGTTGGAAGTTGCTGATGATCATTTATTTTTTGTCGTAGAATTCGTTGTTTATTTTGATGGTTTCTCAATTTTTCTAAATTAACATAAGACCGGTGTGGCCAGTACCAATGAAGTCGAAAGCGCAGATCTGGACATAACATACGTAACTTGATATATTTACAATACGTGTCAATTTTGTACCAATGATTTGACAGTTCTCTAGAGAGCTCTCCCCAATGACCGTGACCTTAGAAAAAAGGTCTGGAAACAGAATGGCTTCTAAATTCGGATCATTATATTTAATTGGAAGTTCTGTGTTCTCAGAATTTACCATAAATCCTGCCATTAGTCTATTATAATAATAATCCTCATCATGTATTTCAGAGTTAAAATCATGTGTTGGTATCACTAAATCAGGTT